GTGACCATGAACTCTGAGGGCGACATGCGGGAGAAAACCTTTAGGGCAGCCCGAAATACGGCAGGGATCATCAACGCCCACCATCACACGGGGACCCACGCTGCATGACAAGTAAAAACAAACAACAGAGAGGGAAGGTGTATCAACGGTGTGGGCGTCACATCTCAAGGTTAAGACGACAGGGACAAGATCCGGCAGGAGGACGCGGGCGTGGTGTGGGCGTGGTCCTCACATGTCGGCTACATCGAGGTCCGGTTTATTACAAGATCTGTTTACTTATTTACCTACTGTCTTTCTCTCGTGTCTGTCATGATGTTTAGTCATGACAGTGGCCAATGAGGGACACTTGCCCTGCCTATCGATCACCAGGTATCATCAATCAGGGCAGAAGCGTCACTGACTTGGGGGAGGGGGGGGACTGGGAGGAAGGAAGGGAGTGAAGGGAGAGGGAGAGAAAGATGAAACTAGGAAGAGGGGTAAAGGAGAGAGGGAGGGGGTGAGAGGGGGAGACAGTAAAGTGTATGGTGATTGGTATTGAAACAAATGATTAACGTAGTTCATTTGGAAAGCTACATACACACACACACACACACACACACAGACACACACACACACACACACACACACACACACTCTCTCTCTCTCTCTCTCTTTGTCTCTTAACAATTTTGTAAGGTTAGTTCAGCAAGAGGAGGACAGTTACAGCGCATGGTTTCAATGACACAGGCGGGGATAGTGACCACCATTCATCACTAACATCACCAACACTCATCACCATCGCTCACTATTATCACCATCCCCAACACTGACAACCACCATCATCACCACCACTCAACCTAACCTAACCTAACCTAACCTAACCTAACCTAATCTAACCTATTCTTACTTAACCTATCCGAACTTAATGGAAGTAACTCACCTCACCTGACATCACCTTTTATCTCCTAACCTAGCGGAGGTTTGTCTGTGCTAAAGGAGCTGCGGGGTGTGGTAGGCGGGGAACTCCCTTAGTGAGCCAATACCCACGAGGATCCCTCTAACTGCAACTCTCCCGATGTTGACCAGGAAACTCTATATATTAAGAACATTAAAGGTAAGTTAGTTAGTATCGGTACGAATATATTTCATGAAGATTATCCTGATCACTGATGTTACAATAATGGTCATTGTCCCTCCAGGCCAGCAAGATGAATACTGGTTGATGGAGGCTGGGAGAGTTGATGGCCTGAGGCAGAGTGAGTGAGGTTGCATGTGATGGGGGGGGCGGGGGTGGTGGTGGTGGAAGGCCGGGTATATATACACCGCCTGAGACCCACCTAGGACATTCACTGCTCATCCCAGTCTACAATCATGAAGGTAAGTTCCATGAGAGTAAGGTAGTGGTTAACAGGGCCGCCTCGCATGTGTTTGGTCTCTGGTCCGATTCCCGAGTAAGTTGGAATTCCCGTTAAAGTTTCAGGCTGTTTCTTTGTGTGGGTTCTCTAGGCATCCTGAGGACTACAGTACCTCGAAACACCAGTCGTAGTCCCATACAGCCCTTTTCTTATGTACTTTATCCAGTACCATTGTTAAAATAGTATTCCCCTATGTATAGTGAACACACACACACACCTAACTTGTGGAGAAGAAGGTACAAACATGAAAATTAATCTCTAGTTACTGAAACTCAGGAAACTGTTTGTTATATGATAGAAAACGTCGCAGTGTACATAATGAACAGTACAGTTATGTGTACAAAATACTGTAGCACAGACTCATGTGTTGGATGAGTAAACTTCCTCAAGTGACTGGAGACAGTCATCAACATACTGTATTAACATGGTTCCTTCCCCCTGGCAGGTCATCCTTGCTCTGTGTCTGCTGGGCAAGCCGCCTGCTGGACTTATCTGGTCTGCCATGCCCACATCAATTTGGCACCAGCCCCTGGCACCGAGTAGACCCCATCTACATGGACACCATCAGGAGGCTGCGTGTAGGAGAGGAAGGAGAACTACAAAATGACCTCCTCTTTCTCTTGAGTCTCGGGAGGTCAATTACCCTGGGACTCAGGCATCCTACTGCAACACACAGCCCTCTCACGACCTCTCACTAGGCTGCGTCCCGGACATTCTTCTGGACAAACATTATCAAATTCAGAATAAATTTTGGTATCACTAAATTTTCCACCATTGGATGAGAGTGATTCTTGTAATGACACTTCTGTATCAATAAACTTAAAAAAAAAAACACATTATATCTTTCACTTTATATCATCGACCTTGACTGAAAAGAAATACAGCTCGACGGACATAAAGTATTGTGAGGTACAGTACCTTAACAGGTCAGGGACTTTCATCCCCCGACAGAGCCACGGCTACTGTACGTGTGGTGGTCGCAAGGTAAACATAGATATATAAATATTTCTATAATAAAATCGTTATACATGTTCACATTGATGTTGGTGATGGCGGTACAGCGGTAGCGAGTGTACATATGTCAAGGGTTCGAGTTGTGCTTGGCGTCAACATGTTTGGTGAGGGTCACACTGGATAACACATCCAGTGTGACCCTGAAAACATCACAGCTTCCTCCGGGTACTCTGGTTTCCTCCTGTACTAACACTGGATAGACCAACCACCCAATCGGCTGATAAGTTGTTAAATGATAAAAACGAAATCAAATAAATAAAAATCATGTAAATAGACAGAGTAGGTTTACAAACAATGGCAAACTGTAAACTTTATTCAACCAAGAGTAGAATGAAAAACCCCATTAAAATCTTATTTCCACTGAGTTATATCAAGAAATTTAATTTTAAACACAGTTTTCATTCCAATTTTGACACTTCTGAGTTCACTTTATTAAGAGCAGCAAGAATTTCGTGATGTAGGTATTTCCATTAGTCACCGGGCGGCCCTCTACTATTGTCTTGTACTGTTCTACTTTCACAGAGACACAAACACACCTGAAGAGTCATGTACAGTACAGTACAGTACAAGTGATTGTTCGTCTCTCTATCCGTCTGAGTATAAACAGTGTCCGCATTAATTCTTATAGTGAAGTTCTTTTATGTACAGTATATACCTGGAGCAAAATAAGGATGAAAGATACTGTTGCCCTCTACAGGAAGAAAACCTCTAGAGTGCGAAGAGCAGAAAATATACACTACATGAGCACTGTGCATCAGCGTTCACATAAAAGACGCTGGGTAACATAGGAGCACCAAGGAGGATGTACTGTACACCTCAGGAACACAGACCAAGGTGATGAAAGAGGTAAAAAACGAGATATACTCTACAATAAGACTACTGGTTCAAGCAGATGGGCCTAGAGACTGGAAATCAACCAATAACGTCACCGCAATCACGTATCTGCAAACTTTTGAGAAAATTGAGAGGGACGCCATCATTCAGCATAAGAGAGAGAACAGTCTTATCAACACATCACAAATGGTTTCATGGAGAGAAAATCTTCTCTGATAAATCTGTTCGCATTCCTTGAAACGACAACATTACGAGGACCACGGGCTACCTTGGATAATATTATGTTGTACTTGTACATGAAAGTTTCTAAGACGTTCCACAAATTTCCGTACGCACGACTGGCCTTGAAAATTGAAACACATGCCATTACGTGCAAAATATTGAGGTGGGTTATATTTAAACACTGACCAAATGATAAGCACTAAACTATGGTAATAAGCCAAGTACAATCAATATAGAAAGAGAATCTCAGTGAAGTACCACAAGGATCTATCTTGGGACCCAACCTATTTTTTATCCACATTTACAATGTTGATGTGTATATCTATGGGCAGGTGGCAAGTCAGGAAGACACTGAATCGAAGCAAAATGATTCGCGTCAACTTTTCATATAGGGTCCTAGACTACAACTCCTCTAAGGATAATTCTTTCCTGGCACCCGTAAATAAGGAAAAGGGACAAGGCGTTGTGATAGACCCAAGGTTACATTGATCGGCTTATGAGACTTAGATTTGTTTAAGGTTCCCATGAATAGTAATCCAAAGAAAACGTATTAGGAGTAACTATTACAGATCACGTCAGAAAGAGAAAGCGAAATACAGTACATCGAGGTATATTTATTCACTATAGTCATATACAGTAGAATGCAGGTATACAAATGGTGATAAAATGTACGTCGATTTGACCAAAGATAACTCCAATACGGCTATTATAAGCTTCCCTCCTTTGTGCGGTTGCGGGAGCTAATAAAGAGCAAGAAACTAACAAAACAGATATATAAATTTTTGACTAGAAGTAACAAGTGCTACATGTGTGGATCATCACCATAAAACACCTATTCATGAGCCGGTAACAATCACTCTCCTCTCCTGTGGCTCATATCACCTTTTTGTTCGTTTGTTTGACACTCTTACTGGTGGTTAAATTATTCCAATCCTTTATACCTGAAAAATTAATGTTTTTTACCTTGACCGCGGACACCAGCTATCACAGAATCCTTACTCTACTTTATTTTAATTTCACTTTATAATCTTCGCCAAATGCCAACTTATTACACAATAAGGCGGTCAGTTAGTCTCTGTTACACATTCTTAACATGTACAGTGCGGGTTCTTGAGTGTGTGTACCTGAACCTGTGTTAGCCAAGGAATTCACACTCAGCGCTTATCACAAAATTCCCTGAGTTACAAAGACGCATTTAAGTTATACGAGGAATCTTAAGCCCATGTAGCAGCCTCAACTACTTCAACCTTCCTGATATTTTGGATTGCATCGAATAGCACTACTGTAAATTTAACGTAACTGGACGTATTCAAACCAAACGTAACGTAACGTAACCTAACCTTAGTGAAGGATTACGTAGCCTTACAAGATACCAGCATGAGAGAGAGAGAGAGAGAGAGAGAGAGAGAGAGAGAGAGAGAGAGAGAGAGAGAGAGAGAGAGAGAGAGAGAGAGAGAGAGAGAGAGAGAGAGAGAGAGAGAGCACACACTACATAGCTACAGGAAGAACTACACAGTCTTGTAGGGGCCCAGCTACAGGAAGAACTACACAGTCTTGTAGGGGCCCAGGAAGAGTTCTAAGAGGAAGGTGAGGGTAGCGATGACCACCCCAGCTGCCCACAGGACCATAACGCCGCCCATCTTGACCAGGTCGAGGGCCTCTGACTCGTCCCCCTTAAGTGTGGGCAGGATGCACTGTTCGCGGGGCATGACCTTCAGGGCGGTGCTTCGTATCCAATTGGTCCTGATCAGATGGGAGACATGTTGTGTTGGTCTGGCTCTATCTCTCTATCTATCTATCTATCTATCCATCATTCTATCCATCTCTCTATCTATCTATCTATCTATCTATCTATCTATCTATCTATCTGTCTATCTATCTATCTATCCATCATTCTATCCATCTCTCTATCTAGCTCTCTATCTATCTATCCATCCATCATTCTATCCAGCTCTCTATCTATCTATCTATCTATCTATCTATCCATCATTCTATCCATCTCTCTATCTATCTATCTATCCATCATTCTATCTATCTCTCTATCTATCCATCATTCTATCAATCTATCCACTAATCTTCCTGTCTATCAACCGTTTCAGTCTATTTATCATATCAGTCTATCCATGAATCTATCCCTTTATAAATCTTTCTACCTATCAATTACCTATCTATACCTATCAATTACCTATCTACAGTATATATATATATATCTATCTGTTTATATATATGTGTTTACCTATAGTCTTATTTGTTTTTATTATCTGTGTCTGTCTGTTTATCTTTGTATTTACCTTCTTCCCTCCTTCCTACCCCCCTACATCTTGCACTATACCTCCTCATAAATGTCTTCACTTTCCATACTATAGACTCCCTTACTCCTTCCTCTGATCTTCCTTCCTCCCTCCTCTGATTTTCCTTCTCCTTCCTCTGATCTTCCTCCCTCTTCTCATCTTCATTCTCCTTCCTCTGATCTTCCTCCCTCCTCTGATCTTTATTCTCCTTCCTCTAATCTTCCCCCCCTCTCTGATCTTCCTTCCCACCTCTTCTAATCTTCCTCCCTCCTTTCTTTCTCTGCCCCAAAACAGCAACAACCATAAAAAAAACAACAACTCACTGGCGGTCAAACAAAGCCTTGATGGGAGAGTTCTTGGGGAAGGCGATTGCCCCGATCTCCAAGAAGAGCGCCTCAGAGCTCGACTTAAGGGTACACACTTTAACTGGTCCCACTGTAACACAACACAATCCTCACTAATCATAACATTGTGGTATAATTATTATGATTTGTTGTTTGAAAGATAGGTATCGTTTTATATCGAGGCGAGGCGAGGTGAGGCGTGGTAAGGCGTGGTGAGGTGAGGCGAAGCGAGGTGAGGTGAGGCGAAGCGAGGTAAGGCAAGACGAGGTTTATACAAAGGTACACTTGGGACGCAGGTAATATGTGTATGAACTTCCTGGAGGCCTACACACACACACACACACACACACACACACACACACACACACACACACACGCCTCTACTATAGGGCATTACTCAAAAACAAACACCTTGGTGAGCTTGGGTTAGGTTAGGTTAGGTTATGTTAGGTTAGGTTAGGTACTAGTCAGCTCACCTTGATCCGAGTATTTATCCATCACGGTTGACACTGCCATCACCGTCACTGAGGAAGGAAGAGGTGACACGTTATACACTATGGCCACACGCAAAGACGGTGAATAATAGTGTGTGTGTGTGTGTGTGTGTGTGTGTGTGTGTGTGTGTGTGTGTGTGAGAGAGAGAGAGAGAGAGTTCATCATATAAACTAAAAACAACAATAAAATGGATAGAAGGTGAAACTTGATGATGATAAGAACAACACGGGACACCAAGAAAAATCAAACATTCAATAGTTTGGTTAGGTTAGGTTAGGTTAGGAAGGACGGGTACTGGGATGACTAGAGAGGTCAGTAATGGTGTGAGGGAGTGTGGAGGTCAGTAATGGTGTGAGGGAGTGTGGAGGTACTGACCGAGGAGGCCGAGGGGCTGGTCCTTCACCCTCTGGATGTACTCCTCGGTCGGCAGGATCCCTCGGTCTTGACGAAACTCGGCCTGGCTAAAGGCGACCTGATGCTTCCTGATGGGCGACGTCTATGGCCATACGAACACAAGCGGGTATTATTATTGTTATTATTGTTATTATTATTATTATTGTTATTATTATTATTATTATTATTATTATTATTATTATTATTATTATTATTATTATTATTATTATTATTATTATTATTATTATTATTATTATTATTTTATTATAATTATTATTATTATTATTATTATTATTATTATTATTATTATTATTATTATTTTATTATAATTATAATTATTATTATTATTATTATTATTATTATTATTATTTTATTATTATTATTATTATTTTATTATAATTATTATTATTATTATTATTATTATTATTATTATTATTATTATTATTATTATTATTATTATTATTATTATTATTATTATTATTATTATTATTATTATTATTATTATTATTATTATTATATTATTATTATTATTATTATTATTATTATTATTATTATTATTATTATTTTATTATAATTATTATTATTATTATTATTATTATTATTATTATTATTATTATTATTATTATTATTATTATTATTATTATTATTATTATTATTATTATTATTATTTTATTATAATTATAATTATTATTATTATTATTATTATTATTATTATTATTTTATTATTATTATTATTATTTTATTATAATTATTATTATTATTATTATTATTATTATTATTATTATTATTATTATTATTATTATTATTATTATTATTATTATTATTATCATTATTATTATTATTATTATTTTATTATAATTATGATTATTATGATCATTATTATTATTAATATTGTTTTTACTACAGGTTTACTGAGGAATAGCAACCGCATTCGGGTATAAACACAAAAGTACAGATACTGGAGTAAGATAAAGGTAATAATACTAACAATAACAACGACAGTCAATATATGTTATCACCATAGTGTAAATATCAGATTCTTGCGCCTCTAAGCTTTATCAGAGAGATAAGCCTAAATAGGTTAATGCCCGCAAATGCTCTTGTCTTACAGGGTGTCCCAATAAGAATGTTCAGATTCGTGGCTGTGACAGCATAATTAGAATCACCTGAAGATCAAACACCCTAGCTAAAATACAAAAATAACTCCTAAATATAGGATAACATAGTAACCTAACCTAAACTAACCTAACCTACCCTACCCTAACCTAACCTACCCTAGCCTACCCTAACCCCCCCCAAAATAGGTTGTTTAATCATGAGGTGAGATAAAGCTAGTCTCTAATCTTCAGGTAATCCCTTCGTTGTGGTGAGGAGACGACAAAACACACCTTCATCTTCAAATACTGCGAAAAGCCCAAGCTGATAGAGAGGGTGTAGTCCATGTCTATGAGCTGGGCGATGGTCTCCGGGGGCGTGGAGATCCTGGGGATGGAGAGGAAGGCGGTGAGGTTGCCTCTGTACACCCCCACCAGCACCATCACCACCATCCACGTCGACACCAACACCACACGCCCCGAGCTGCTCCCTGGCTGACGCACCGACGCTGTGAGGAGAACAACATTACTGGTAGGTTAACTGTGTATTAACTATCTATCTATGGTTTATTTCTTCCTATTTATGTCTTGGTAATGGCGGTGTGTTTATGGTGTGGGCCGTGACAGGTGTTTCCCACAGATATGCCACACACCTTTCACTTCTTACCTGAGTTAATACACCTCACACCTAGGGATTAATGTACAGTCCCCTTCACTAGAGCGTTTACAGGGGCTCGTCATATATACATTCCACAAATCATTTCATTGAGATATTTGTTTTTAACGTTGTTTAACTTTGGTTCCATGGTATGTTTGCTATAGTGAGTTTCCTTTTATCGAATGTAAATAAACAGAAGGGCTGCCACACTGCACAAAACCTGACGAGCCCCTGTAAACGCACTTGTGAAGGGGACTGTATCTGTGTTTTGTACCTTAATCTGGGCTGGAACTTGCATAACTGGGTACAGATTCTCAGAGATTCGTAAGATGAATGTTCCTCGTAGGTGATGATAGGGGGGGGTCTATGGGCCTAGTTGGTTGACTTAAGCTAAAACACTAAGATAACGTCCAAATATAGCTTTAAAATATCAAGTCAGACTCTATTCACTAAGAACATTCTCTTGTGCTAATTAGGAAATAAAATTGAGAAAAGTTTTAGAAAATGTAGATAATTTTTGGGAAAAATCTGTATGTAAATTTTGTCTCCTTACTGATACTAAGTGAAAGTATCTAATCATGGTAAAGCCTGAGTGTAAATTTGATGACGACATTCGGGTAGGTTGTGCAGTGAAGTTGCTGCTGGGTGTAGTGTAGTGTGTAGTGTAGTGTAGTTACTGCAGGGTGTAGTGTAGTGTTGTGTAGTTACTGCTGGGTGTAGTGTAGTGTTGTGTAGTTACTGCTGGGTGTAGTGTAGTGTTGTGTAGTGTGTAGTGTAGTGTGGTTACTGCAGGGTGTAGTGTAGTGTTGTGTAGTTACTGCTGGGTGTAGTGTAGTGTGTAGTGTGTAGTGTAGTGTAGTGTAGTGTTGTGTAGTGTAGTGTAGTGTAGTGTAGTGTAGTGTGTACTGCTGGGTGTAGTGTAGTGTAGTGTAGTTACTGCTGGGTGTAGTGTAGTGTGTAGTGTGTAGTGTGTAGTGTAGTGTAGTGTGTTGTGTAGTGTAGTGTAGTGTAAGTGTTGGTGTGTAGTGTGTAGTGTAGTGTAAGCAGTTGTGGTGTAGTGTAGTGTGTGTAGTAGTGTAGTGTAGTGGTGGTGTGTGTAGTGTAGTGTAGTGTGTAGTGTAGTGTAGTTACTGCTGGGTGTAGTGTAGTGTTGTGTAGTGTAGTTACTGCTGGGTGTAGTGTAGTGTAGTTACTGCAGGGTGTAGTGTAGTGTTGTGTAGTGTAGTTACTGCTGGGTGTAGTGTAGTGTAGTGTAGTGTAGTTACTACAGAGTGTAGTGTAGTGTTGTGTAGTTACTGCTGGGTGTAGTGTTGTGTAGCTAATGCTGGGTGTAGTGTAGTTACTGCTGGGTGTAGTGTAGTGTAGTTACTGCAGGGTGTAGTGTTGTGTAGTGCGACAGGTGACACACACAAAACTCACCCATATACACAGCAGTTTTAAGGATGGTGGTGACGGGGGCGAGACAGTTCCGTGTGACAGGTTGGCTCTCCCCGTCACTCATCTGTCCCCACGTCAACGCCAGCATAGTCGAAGCCAACGCCAGGAATCCCACAATCACACACCACGCCTGAGTCAGTGGTGGTAAAGAAATGATTTAGAATTAAGTTGTGTGTGCGTTTACTGTGAGACTAAAGTATAAATAACACACTCCATCACCACCTACACTTACCATAACATACTCTACCACTGCCATAACACACCCCACCACCCACCTGACCCACCATAACACACCCCACCACCCACCTGACCCACCATAACACACCCCACCACCGCCATAACACACCCCACCACGCACCTGCCAGCTGTAGATCTGGAATAGAATGAAGTAGTCATCATAGAGGCTGGGAACCTTGGTGATGAACCTGGTGTTGTGGAGGCCAAACCATTCGCAGTAATCCAGCACCTCGGCCCTCTCAGACAACACGGAGAGGGAGGCTGCTGCGAAATCAACCTCCTGAGTGTATAGTTTGATTAGGTTTGGTTAGGTTAGGTTTGGTTTAGTTTGGTTACATTACATTCGGTTATGTTATGTTATGTTATGTTAGGTTTATGTTATGTTTATGTTAGGTTATGTTATGTTAGGTTTATCCATTAATCAGCAGCATTGACTGTACGAGAAATGTGATGAATAAGTAACAGTTAAACTAAACATTCCATTGAACCATTAATTAAAAAAGGTACAGATACAAACATAGGTACAGACATTTCCTGCACCACCCTGACCACACCTGTCACTTACCCTCATCTGCACCACCCTGACCACACCTGTCACTCACCCTTCGCTGCACCACCCTGACCACACCTGTCACTTACCCTTCCCTGCACCACCCTGACCACACCTGTCACTTACCCTCATCTGCACCACCCTGACCACACCTGTCACTCACCCGACCACACCTGTCACTCACCCTTCGCTGCACCATCCCGATCACACCACTGAAGGAGCCATTGGAAGCCCTGACGCCGAAACCCTGGACATAATGAATATCCAAGTTAAAATCCAAGTTGTTCCTGATCTTGGTGAGGTAACCCCCCAGCTCCCCCTCCAGCATCAGGGAGCCGCCCTTGTACACCGGCACCACCTCGTTGAACCCCTGAAAATACAGTAAATACTCCTTCAGTAGAATCCTCTTTTGACTGGTATTTTCTCGTCTGTTTTGGTTCTAATTGTCTGAGATTCTTAAAGGTGGGCAGTGTAGTGGTATTATTAGGTCAGGTCAGGTCAGGTTAGGTTAAGTTAGGTTAGGTCAGGTTAGGTCAGGTTAGGTCAGGTTAGGTTAGGTTAGGCCAGGTGAGGTTAGATCAGGTTAGGTTAGGTTAGGTCAGGTCAGGTTAGGTTAGGTTAGGTCAGGTTAGGTTAGGTTAGGTTAGGTCAGGTTAGGTTAGGTCAGGTCAGGTCAGGTTAGGTTAGGTTAGGTCAGGTTAGGTTAGCCTCGGAGTCACATTTTCTACATAACACATCAACACAACCCAGTACAGTCAACAAGAGCACCAACACGAGCATCTCAGCCTCTTATAGTAACACCACCAACTATGTCTTCCTCCAGCGCTAACACTCCTTTATACCAGCAATGAAGAGTCCTACCTGAACTATGACGGTGCTGAGCGTAGCGCCTTTGAGAGAGGTAACAGGAGGCAGGAGAGGCTCCCCCAGGGTCAGCTGTCCCCCACGCCAGCACCCAACACTCCACAGCGAGTACTTCCCTCCCTCCTCCAGCCGCGCCTCCGTCACCGTCCCCCAGCATCGCCGCCCACGATCCTGCACACCACACGTGACACAGAGGGCATTAGTAAATACTTTCTATCTATCTACCTACGAATGTGGTCAACTCAGGTACAGTAGCAGCAACACCGTCTCACCTGGTCACTGTGCTGCACCACCTCCAGAACAACCACACGCACAGCCAGGGGCACGTGTGGGCACAGCTGCTCCTCCTGCACCACACCCCCTACAGGAGCCACCAGCAGTGTGTCTCTCTGTAGTAAACAATACCATTAACATACAGTACCGAGTGAACACAAATGATCTCCCACCCTGAGTTTTTTTTCCTCTGTCATATACGAAGTTTTTTCCCACAATGTCAGAAACTTTGGATAATATGAAGGTAATGTTACGTGAGTCTGTTAGAAAAGTTCAATATATGGTAAAACATGTATAGAGGAAGAGAGGGTACCACTCTGATGATCTCCAGAGCTACAAAACTCTCCTGGTGAACTTGTGTTACATATTTCTAAGAGAACAAACACATTATTATATCTTA